TTATTATTATTATTATTATTATTATTATTATTATTATTTCTATGACCATCCAGGTTAGAAACAATCCAAAAGCAGATACTGTTAATCGCTCAGCCAAACCATTAGGGCATCCTTCCTTCCTCTCCCTTAGGGTGCATTTACGCTATAATAATAATAAATAATAAAATTTCATTTATATCCCGCCTTTAGCCGAGGCTATCAAGGCGGCTTACAATTTAGAAATAATGCCGTTACATTTTTCGTTTAATTGCGTTCCTTTCCTTTTCCTAAAGTGATAATTAAGGCGCCATCTCCACTGCAGAATTAACGCCGTTTGACACTGCTTTAACTGCCATGGCTCCATGCGATGGAGTTCTGGGATTTGTAGTTTTGGGAGAGATTTAGCCTTCCCTGTCAGCGAGCGCCTCCACCAAACTACACATCCCGGAGGTCCACAGCATTTCGCCATAGCAGTTAAAGCGGTGCCAAACTGCATTAATTCTGCAGTGTAAATGGAGCCATAGGTCCAAAACACACTGAAGAAATAATCCAGTTTGATTATTGAACTGCCCTGGCTCAATACTAGGGAATTCTGGGGACTGTAGTTTTGTCAGAGCGCTCTGGTGCCACAATAAACTACAATTTCCAGGCTTCCCTAGCACCGAGCCAGGGCAGTTCAAGCGGTCTCAAACTGGATTATTTCTGCCGTGTGTTTTGGATCTTAATTATCATGTGCTCCACTTTAGGAAAAGAAAATGCTTTGATTTTGAGTTCCTGCATGGCAGGGGGTTGGACTGGATGGCCTTTGGGGTCTCCTCCAAATCTATGATGCTATGATTCTAAAAGAAAAGGTAAGGTTATCTTTCCAATAAGATTTAATTCTATAAAGTCAGAGCTTTGCTGAACAGTTAAAGCGTAACTGAGTTGTTCATTAATCTTTTAGGTGCCCTTTTTCCAAGGAGCAGAGGTTGGACTTTGCTGAACCTGATCGAAGTTCATCTAGTCTGGCGTTCGCCGCAGGACTGACAACCATCTCCGAGGCTGCATCCACACTGCAGAAATAATCTGGTTTGATGCCACTTTGGGGCCAGTCGCACTTAGATTTTTTTGCACAGAGAGATCCATTTCCTGAACGATCCGAATTGATCTGATAGCTGCATGATCCGAATCGATCCGATAGCTTTCTTACACTACTTGAGATGCGGATCACTGCGGTTCATTAAAAAAAGAACCGCTAAGGGATCCGGTGCCAAATGCACCAGGAGTGGCAGGGAGTTCCAAAAGAAATGTGCTTTAGATTTATTTACTATGATTTTATTCTGTTTTAATTGTTAATGGATTTTAATCATGTTATTTGTTTAATAATGTTTTAAGGGAGGGGGGAATTGTGTTTTTTATTGTAATTGTGTTTTATGTTGTAAACCG